TACCAATTTCTATGCCGAAAACACGATGTGGAACTGGAGCCATATCAATCTAGTTTCAGCCTTGGCTGACCATTCTCTTCCTTCTCTTCCTATAAGTGCGTGAACCTGACTGTTCTTCATCATCAGTGAAATTCATCTTCAGGTAAATCTATGAAGGCATCTACTTTGTGGTGAGTGATGTTCCGCATGCAACACGTGATTTCTTGCTGTTTCGGATGAAATTCCTATTCGATGGGCGGACAGAATGTCTTCTGCCTACACCAAAGTCTCCTAGTGTACAAAAATGGAGATGGGCATGGTTGCTTGTTGAATGCATTGAGTTGCTGAACCCTCTTTCCTTACAAATCATTTTTTTTTGGCCTGTCCCATCTGACCAACAAGCTTTTAGATCTGGACTAGAACCTATCAATTCGGGAGCTTAGGCGGGACTGTAGTTACAACATCATGTATTACACACAAAGTCAGTGCAAACAGGCTGGGCACACGTTCCATCTATACATCTCCTCATTCTCGCAATGTCCGTCAAAAAAGACGTGAGCTCGTGACGTGTGACCGGTCTGCTGCCGACCCTCATGACCATCGGTTGCGACAGCTGCGTATCCTCATCAGAAGCGGAAGATCTGACGACATACAGTAGCAATATTCAAAGCCATGATCTAGTGTGACAATCGCGATCGGTCGCGATCGATCACTCCTGACTCTCACCGCCACTTGGCCATGGCCACTCGCGACATGCTGGACCGCCTGTCTGAAATGGCGTGCGTTCAATTCCGTGAGATAAGTCAAACTCGTCCGTGCGCACGCTCAAAGCATGGAGCTCTGGAGGCCTGAGCGCTGAGCGCTCGGCGATGTTGACCGTTGAACTCTAGAGCCTGAGGAGACGAGGATAATCAACGAAGATGGTTCGGAGTCTCGTCCGCTCTCAGATAATAAAAGATTATGAATTCCAACTGACAATCCATAGCACAATCCAAAGTAACGTTACATTGCGAGAATACAAGACTGATCATGTCCTCCACGGACTAACTGGGGTCATCATTCGCAGCAGCCATCATCAGACAATCGAATCATTAGCCCACACTCACTTACTGCTCGATCCTCCCGCCTCCTCCTCCTCCACCTCCTCCTCCTCCACCTCCTCCTCTTTCTCTTTCGCCTTCTCCGCTGCCTTCGCCGCTTTCTTCTCGGCCTTCAACGATGCAGGGTCGTTGCGCAGAATCGACGATATAGGATTTATAGCCGAGTCCATGGCGTCCTTGGCCTCCTCAAAGGGCCCACGCGTGTCAATCGAGTGTGCGAATAGCAGATCAAACTGCGCCTTGAATTCCGGGGTGATCACGGTGTAAACCGAACTGTCGTGCCCCCGAATGTTTAGGCAGTATCGCTTCGGCTCCTTGTCTTTTTCCAGATATCCTATCCAGCCGCCGTGCGTCTGTTTCGCAGGTTGCCCAATTTCGAGAGCAACGCGAGGCCCGCCAGCGTGTCCGAATGCGCTCTCGGTAGCGAAGTCCATAAAAAGTGCGACGTAGTTCTCGGGTTTATATCGCACAACCGCGCCTGATTTGTCAGTGCGTTCAATGATAGGGCCTGCCAGTCCAGCAACTAGGCTATATGCAGATGCTTTCGTTTTCGCTTTGATCTGAACGATGACATATCCGAGCAAACTCTCGTCGAAAGGCTCGTTGAGGTCTCCGCTGTATGTTACGAACAGCGAATCGAACAACGCCTGAATATGGGTGCACTGTACGCCGGCACCCCGCTTCCACAGCTCAGCAAGCCACTTGCGAGTAATGACGCTGAGCTCTTCGGAGGTTTGGACCCAGTGAGTAAAGTTGATCCAGAGCTTGTCTGCGTCTTTGACAAAATCCTTAGGGTTGGCCTTCTCAGCCTTGGGCTGCTCAGCCTCAGCCTTGTCAGCCTCAGCCTTGTCAACCTTGGACTTGGCGGCCTTGGGCTTGGCAGCCTTGGTCTTCTTAGCCTTGGGCTTCTGAGTCGTGGGCTCCCCAACCGTGGCTTCTACAGTCGTTTCCTGATGCTTGACGCCGAGGTCGTCGCCAAGCAAGGTCTTCAGAAAGTCTGACAGTCTCAACGGGCGGACAGCGCGCCGAGTGGAATCCACAAACTTTCCTCCCTTCGGAAGCGTCGCCTTGTCGCGCGCGAGGGTGAGTAAGAGCCTGGTGCATAATTCACCTTGTCGCCCTCGATCAGTCACGACCCCGTCCATGATGAGTCGTCGCATCAGCGTGTCCAACGCCCTGGCGTAGGTCTGCGGGTTCAAGTTCAGGACTTCTGCAGCAGCGACGGCAAGCATAGGTTCCGAAGGCGCGGCGGTGGTGATGAACGTATCATGGACACCGATCAGGAGGCGCATGTGACTGCGTACAGCGTTTATAGCGATGCGGCTGGACTCCATCGTATGATTCAGTTCCAGCACGATCCTGTTTGCGAAGACGGCGAACACATGTTCACGGTTTGTTGGATCGAATTTGTCGTTATAGATTAGCTTCTTAATTGCAGCACGCACAAGGTCTGGAGAGTAGCGAAGGGTATACCAATACTGTATATCGGCTTGGTGAGTGACAGTTCACGAAGATGGAAAAAAGCGCTACTTACAGGCCGGCCCAATGCTGCAAGGAAGGAGATCAGAAGAGCGTCCTCCGCGTTTGTAAACTCGTCATCTTGCTTGGCACCTTGCTTGTCATCTTGCTTGGAACCTTGCTTGTCATCTTGCTTGGCACCTTGCTTGTCATCTTGCTTGTCATCTTGCTTGGCACCTTGCTTGTCATCTTGCTTGTCATCTTGCTTGTTATCTTGACGCATTTGGTCGAAATCGACGTAACACCACACAGGCAAGGGTTTAAGTGCACTCGCTAAGCGAAACGAGGACGCATCTGGCCCGGAAGAAGCGAGTTCATACACGGAGGAATTCGTGTCCAAGAGCATATACCAAAATTCGATATCGTGCGGGAAAGTGCATTCGTCTGCGGCCTTGATGATACGCTGGAGAGCAATGAGTGACATCTCTCGCTGAGGACCTTTCGGACCGACAAGTAGGCCGGGATCGTTCAGTTCTGTACACTCGTCGAGACTCAGAAGGAATCTCTTTTGTTTTAGACGGTGCACCGATTCCGCGAGTAGATCGAAAGCCGGCTTCGCGAGCCTTGTGAACAAAGCCACGTGCCAGCCGGTGACGCTGGTTCCGGATTTTCCACCTCTGGTGTTGTTATCAGCTTCCGCTGCAGCAGTGATGTGGTGCTTCAATCTCAAGGCAAACAATTCCTCCTTGTACTTAGTCAGCCGCTCTCTAGTAAGTTTTTTCACCTCCTCAAAGTGACCGTGGCGACTTGATCTCTCAAGATCGGTTGGATCCTCGATAGACCAGGCTTTGACCCAGGCCTCCAGATCGGCAGGTGCTGTGTGGTGCACGGCAGGTGCTGTGTGGTGCAAAACCTCCACGAGCGCACCGAGAAAGGCAGCCGCCTTCTCCTCCGCCTATAAGTCTGACTGAGCGACACACGTCAAGGGGTATCATACGAAGAACTCACCAGGAAGGTGAACGGCCCATCGAGCCCATCGAAGAACTCTCGGCTGACGTCACGAGGAGGCCATCCTGAAGTTGGTAGTTCGCCCTCTCGGAAACAAACACAGAACGCAGGCATCTGTCGTTCATGTTCTTCAATCAGTGACCCTACGACGGACAAAACAACCGCACTCACTCGAAGCCCAAGCTGCCACGCCAAACGAGTCTTACCTGTTCCGCTAGCTTGAACGAACGGTATCATGCGACCGTAATATATACTTTTGTCGTATATTCCCGCGTAAACACCCAAGGACTTCTCAAACAATTCATCGAAGCGTCCGCGGAACGTTTCATGGAAGGCCCTGTCCAGCCGCTTTTGCTGCTCGGCTCTATAGAATGACCACAATCGTAACGTAAGTGTCGGGCCAACAATGAGGGATGGAGTTGACATACATTGTCTCAATCGCGGCAGGCGGCCGTTCGAGTGCTACGATGATGTCGATCAACATTCAATACTAGCAACATGGTAAATGGACAGACATACCGCAGGCAAATTGCAAAAATTTTGCGATATCCTTCCCGGCCATCAAACTGTCCAGTTGATCATCTGGCAGGGGCTGGAGTCTCTGCCAAGGTTCATCCTCGCCACCGTCCTTGAAGAGAGCTGTCCGCAATTTAAGAGGAATACGATCGCGCGGGAGGTCTAACTTTTCAACGCGACGGAAAACAGCGTCAAGAAATTTCTTGCCACTTCCAGGCTCGCGGTCTAGCTCAGTATAGTCCAGAAGATCGGTGTTCCACCGCGCTTGAATCCTAGCCAGCAACTGCTCTACTGGGTCTTGGGAGGGTGTGGCACCTAGATTGAGTCGCGAGAACAAGGAAGCCAAATCGTCAACCGGTGACGAATCTTGAATGTTCGACATGTCGATGGAGATTTTGATATGCGATGTCGAGAGGAGAGAAAGAGAAGATGAGTGTGCTGTCTGCCTACTGGCATTTATATATGTACGACAATGTGCCACACCCTGGGAATTTCACCAGTGGCGTCCGTTGTTCGTGCTGAGCTGTTGTTCTTTCGGCACGAGTCCCACAAAACCCCTTGACACTCCGTTCCTGCCGAACTATTGTTCTCTCGGCATGAGTGGCACGGAGCCACTCTCTTGTTCTCTAGGCACGTGAGTGGCACCAAACCCCCGGACACGCTGATTTGCCATCTGATCGCTCCGCGGCGGTGGAGGGCGCGTGCGCTCCGAGCTGATCAAGGATTCAGGAAGCGCCCAAAGCTCGTCTGACTGACCATCACACCGACAAGACCATCCTCACCACGACGTGCATACCAGGCTCTATCTTTGCGAGACTCTGTTCATTTGTTTACGAGCGGCGCGGAAAACGCCACTCCGAATTGATCTCTGCGTTTGCTCTCACTATAGTCCGAGACTGATCTGTTTGGACTCTGCTCGCCGGCGAGCCGAATCCTATTCTTTTCCGTGCTGCGTTCACCATACACCATCTGGACATAGCTACTGCCGTCTCCCTGGTCGCACGCACCATGCCTACTGCAAAAGCACGAAAAATCACGCAGGCCACAGCGCCTCCGCCTCCGCCTACTGCTCCCGCGCCCGCACTCTTACCCGCAGCTGGCGCAACGACGAATGGGAAGAAGAAAAAGAAAAAGAAGATCAAGGGGAAAGGCGTAGACCTGTCACTGTCGGCGTCAGCAGGAGCAGACGTGTACTACGACGACGACGAGGGCTCGGATGGGCTGCCGCCGCTGGAGAGCGCGCCCGAGGCAGAGCTGGCAGTGACATTGAGCCATCTGAGCCACAGCGTGGATGGGGCGGGGGTGGATGAGGAGTCGCTGGTGTCGTCGCTCCCTGAGCACCTGCGACACTTTGTACGGAACCCTTCTTTGCATCTGAGCTCCCTTGGTAACGCGGAACGAAAGACGCAGGCGATGCGCGCGATCGCACAGCAGATCCAAGCACGGCGAGGACGAGTATGCGAGCGACGACGACGACGACGACGTGCACGGACACCCGCAGGCGCAGTCTACGCTCAGCTATGAGCAGACGACGGTTTTCGCGACCCCCTCGCCACTGCCACTATATAAGAAGAAAAACAAGAAGAAGAAACGGCGGGTGGGCGTGCCACACACCCGGCCGGAATCGCAAGCGGTTCGGTCGCCGATACCGGCCATATGTCGCCCACGAAGCCAAGGTCGCCTCTCGCGCTCTCCTACACGAGATGGCCACCATCTGGCCCGAGTCGTTCGCGGCCTCCGCAACGCATCCCTTCCGAGAGACTGCAAACGGCGACGGAGACGTGAATGCGTTCTTCATGCATGCGCACTTTATTGTCGAGCGTGCACGAGAAGCGCTTCTGTGGAGCTGGGTCGTTGGACGGGTCGGCGCGCTCAATGGGACCTGGGGCGAAGCGGAGGCTCGGTGCGCTTGGGAGGAAATCGGTGGCACCTGGGGGGAGAGCGATTTTCTCGTGGAGACTAGCCACCGGGATACGCTCACGAGGGATAGGGTCGAGAGGGTCCTGTTACAGATGTCCGCTGCCGAGCTTGACCTCGTATTCATTCTGTATGTGTATCTTTGCTTGATTGAAGGTTTTCCCCCTACTAACGAGATTACATAGCATCTCTCGACGGTTACGCACACGCTGGTCTAGGTGCCTATGGCCGGCCAGAATGGGTGTCATTTGCCCCGGAGATCAACGAGGGGCATCTGCCCAGGTGCAGGATATCCTACGAGAAGTGTTTCGCGATGGAGCATCCGGAATCTGAAGGCGAACAGCGACGTGCAAGCGAGATCTTTACGGATATCGCGTTCCGCAATGAGGCCTGTGGAGACTGCGGTACGTGTCCTTCCTGTCGCTCATTTGAACAGACAGATTGAACGTTACTCGGTTATTCTGGCGCTAACAAAAGCAAGCGGCAGCCATGGCTTGTCGGCTTTCCTTCCTGCTGCCGATCGTGTCCTTCCACCAATGAACAATGAGGATGGCGAGCGAGAAGTGCCCTATCTCCCCCTAGTCGCGAACTGGGAAGACGGCGACTTCTCCCTATATGCTGTTATGGGCATGAAGCGAGAGCTGAATGCAAGACAGTGGGTACTGCAGCTCCTACAGCGCTATCGCTATGTGATAGGTACGTGCCAACGCCCGGACGTCACAGTAACATTGATCAATGTGGGCTTTCCAACGTGCTACAGGCAATACACTGTCGCTCTTCGAACGCGTCTCGAGCACCCAAGGAGCGGCGCAAGTCGTCGCACATATCGAGCGAACGCCCCACGTGGCTCTGCTTTGCATCAATGACGATGCCATGAAGGAGAGCCTGACTTCGCAGGTGACACAGGTGCTGAAAACATGGTTCAATAGACGGTGGAAGAAGCCAGCTGCTTGGGAACAGCGGTGACAAGGGTCGAGCATTCTTCGCATTTCGGTTGATGTAAATCAATGGGGCTTTCTGGGTTGCTTTCGATCAACGTTGCAGTTCGGGTTGATCGTTGTCTGTATAATGTTTGTGCTATGTCCCATGTGATCCGTAGTCCCTGCTGATGTTACATAGACACAGATAACAGATGTCGAGCCACGCACATTCAATGCAATTCCTGACACCTATTTCGGTGGATGAATCACGGATCCAAATTCGAACTAATTTCGTGTGTCTTTCACTTTAAGTTCCTGAGTACTTGGTCCAGATGATGGTATCATGCCCTGAGAACAGATATCTTCTGTCGTGTATTGCAAATCATGGCGCTGGCATCGTCTTTTTCAACTCCATCTGACATTCTGCCTCAACGGATAATCGCGCTTTCGTCGTTCTAGATGTTTTGCTTCTCACTCAAAACCGTACTATGTCCACCCAACTCATTCGGTTCCCTGCTCTCGTTCTCATCGAGTCCACCTTATTTATACGATCTATTCTCAGATCTACGGAGGAAGCTCAACTTGGATATATTGGTACATCATAAACAATGCTAGTTACCACAGAACGATGTGACATGCTAGATGGAAATGTCCCTCCCCGGAGTGGGTATGTATCGTGAAGTCCTTGAATATACTGATAGCTCCACGATAGAAGCGGGAATGTCAACTTCAAGACCATCCATTTCCCACTGCTCTGATCAGCACCCCCACACCAGCCAGCATCGCCAAAAGCAGCACAACACTCGGGTATATACCCGCAGCTGTGGCCCCGCTGTGCTTCCCTTTGCTAGTGCTGCCATGGCCGCCATCCGCCCCCTTGTGTCCGTTCGAGGTCTGCAATGTGCTCGGATCGACAGTCGTGCTGTATTTCTGTTCCCCGGCGGCTGTGACCGTCGTGGCAAATGTATGCGTGCTTGTAGGCGTGGACTCCTCGAACGCGCCGTCGGAGAGGAAGACGAGCGCGAAGCCGGGTGCTGGTACCGTGACTTGGCAGGTATTGTTGGTGGTGTCGCAGTCTACGGTTTGCATTGTCTCCGCACCGCGCAGACGTCCGTCTGACTCGAATTGACCGCCGAAAGTCTAGACATGCACAATGGTGAGCGTCGTCTTGACCGCGGACCTAAATGCAAGACCAACCTGGCCAGCCCAAGTTATATTGAATTTCTCGCCGACAGATGGGGCCAAGAGATATCTACAAGATGAACCATCCATCATCATGATCAGAGTTGACAGCAACGATGACCATGCTCATGCAACTCACTTCAGCCTGATCTGAGATGGAGTCGTGCTCGGTTGCCCGAGCGCGTTTCCACCGACGGAGATGGTCACAGTGTAATCATTGGCGCCGGATGGGTCCGTCATGAAGTTGATCAGCGCCAGCCGCGCGAGCGTCCCATTCTTGTAGACCGCGTAGCCCGGCGTATAGTCGTTGTCACCGTTCGAAGCGAGATCGATGATCTGCGAGTGGTTCGAGGAGCCAAGCGTCTCGGCGACCGCGAGAACGGAATAGAAGATGGGGCCGATGGTCCATTGGTGGATCTTGGACTGGTTGGTTAGTGGCGCTACCAGGGAACGATGGCTATCATGGTCGTGAATGAGGAATTGGGAAATGGAGACTCACGGGTGAATGGCTGTGATCAGATATATGAGGCCGTGCCACGGACTGAAGAATGGCATTCGCGACGTACGTTGTAGTACACGTCCTGTCCACCCACGTGCAACAACGCGTGCGAGAAATCACTCGCACCCATCTGCAGCGCGTAGTCCACTGCCCACAGAGCCGCGCCGAAACTGTCGCTAATTCCGGGAAATCCTCCGCACGACGCGGTGTTCGTCTCGAACATTACGAACGGCTGGCCCGCAGCAAGCGCGATCGCAGACGAGTTCAGATACGGTGCGACGATGCTCTTGCAAGAGGCATGAGTGAGGTAGCTCGGGAAGACCGACTGAGGGTCTTGAGGGGGACCGAAACCTGGATATAGTGCGGCACAGTTGTCATTTGGATAGCTGGGTAGCGGGGACCATTCGTTATCCGAAATGTCATACACCCGAAAAGAAGGATACTCGCTGCTCTACGGTCAATGCCGCAAGATTGTTCATATATGCCGGGATGAAATTCGTGTTCCAAACATCTGACATGCACGTATCAGTCGTTGCAGAGGTGAGAAAACGCGAACAGCGGCTGCCATACCCTCCGGGGTCCAGTCTCCAGTAGCTACGCTCGGAGCCAGCAGTTTGTTGGTGACCGGCGTATTGACATCTGCTTGCATCGCCTGAACGACCTGTCCAAACTCGCCGAAGTAGTCGTATGGACTATAGGTAGCCGGGCGGTGGCCGTGGCTGTCATCACTTCAATGTCAACATGCATATGGTTCATGAAGCGGAAGACTAGTGCATACCGGGCATAGAGATCGGGCTCATTGCCAATCTGCAGTCCTATGAGGTTGTCGCCCAAAATACGCTCACCGTATTCTGCGATGGCACGACGAAGGTGGAGCTATCATTCAGTGGCACGCCGAGATACCACTTCGTATTGACAAGGCCTGAGATGTTTGAGAGCATATAGAGGATCTCAGGGGTATATAAAAGGGCCGGTGTATCCGTCTTCCAATAGTTGAAGTTAGTGTCGCATTATGGAGGCTTATAGGCAACGTTCTGACGTACGGGGTTGCCTCCATCCACACTCTGTTTTGCGATCGATTTGCCATTTGAAAGATCTGAGACGAGCGTTGCATTCTCCTGGGAGTTGCCTCCTACACGAACGTGAACGCGGCCTGCGCGTTGGGTTATGAGCGCCATCAGGTTCAAGAATGGCACTTGCAGATGTGTGCTGTCAATGACCGGAGATCAGGCTTCTGAATGTTGCTACGCCACGCAAACTGTTGAGAGCTTACCCATTGAGACCGACTGTGGACGAAGGTCAGGAAATCCAGTGAGCGATTGCAAATATGAGGTACTTGCTCGTCGTGGAATTCTGTAAAGCTACTCACGAACTTGGTCGGCCACAGACATCTCGATGGAGAACCCGAGCAAGGCACCACTCATAGGGAAAGAGAGTCCCTGTACGTCACCGGCATCATTATGGAGCTGTAACTCAAACTGAGTAGACGGTGGAGGGTCAGGTATAGGTGGAGGGTTAAGAACAGTAGGATCGTATGCAAGGTTTCTCCCAGGTCAGAATGTAAGGCGATTTTTTACACAGGATTTTGTACTTGTTTGGCTCTATTTGATAATGTTTCTCTCCATCAGCCCTAACGCCACCTCCCCCTCCCCCATGAACCTTCCACTCAATCCTAATGCCACCACACCTCCCTTCCCCAACGCACTCGTTTTACGATCCACGCCAACGCCATCACCCCTCCCCCCCCCTCCAACACACACACACATACACGCACACATTTTACTCGACTGTAACGCTACCATACCCTCCCCTCTTCCCTTCCCCCTGAGTATTCTCATATCACACCAAGCTATCGTTAAATGTTCATGAGCTATGTGATGTAAGATACATGTTGATCTATGCATCTGTTGTATTTCTGTTCCCGTGAACTTCCGTCCACCACTCCGTCGTTTCTCGGTCCAGTTTAGCCAGTCTTTCATCTTCCATCAGCAATTGTTCATCATGAGGTTCGTGGAACATCTCTGCATTGAAGTCCCTGAGGATTCGAATGGTATCCCTGCCATGACTACGTGACAGTGCGACATATAGGTTGAAGAGGCTCAGTTTTCTGGTCGGAGGCTTTGCCATGTCAATCAACACACACAAAATTGTCTGTCCTTGCGAGCGATAATCTGTGAGAGCGTACGCAGCCATTATCGGAAATTGTCTTCGGTGAATCGTGACCCTGACTGTTTGGTTTTCAGGTCCTACATCTCCGACGTTAAGAGACCATGTATGCTCTGAAGGTTCAATCGGTATTTCGCATTCGTCCAGTCCATGAAGCCTCGATATCTTCATCCTATCGAGCTTGACAATTATGTACGCCAGTAGGTGTTGTAACCTCACTACACGTTCGTCTCCGTGTTCTGGCTCTTCTGGATGTAGGATGATTCTTCTGATCTCTCCTCGTGCTCCATTTGCGATGTCCAGGTCTGTGGCGATATTCAAAGTCACCATGACTTTCATCCCAACCGCCAGTTTGATCTCGCGAGGAAGTCGTTGTTTCTGATGTCATGCTGGTCGGTGTTCAGATCTGGCAAGTGCTATCTTCTCGTGCACGTTCAGTGGTCGTCCTTCTACATTGTCTTCTGCCATACAGATATACATCTTTTGTCCACTCTGTTTACAGTGCCGGTCGAGCGCAGCCTCATTCCAGGCTTCTCGTACATCATGCTGTGGGGGAGTGGAGGATGAGGGGAAAACAGCTCATGAAGTATGGACTGCCTTAGTGCAGAAGCGGGAGCACAAGACGGCATTGACGATCATGAATGCTGAGGATTACCTCAAAGTATGCATGTGGACTGAAGGGACCGACCTCCAGGATCATTTCATAGAACTTCACCACCGTTGACATGTCGCACGTGACCTGGGATCTACGTTCAATGCTGCTAGGTTCGCAATCATTATGTGCAACTCAATGTCAAACCTTCCATCGCTCCAATCCACATGTACATCGCTCCTCTTGCAAATCAACCCAGATGTTGTCATGGAGTCGATTCTTGCTGTCTTCGAGAATGACCGCATACAGGCCGGTAACCCACTTAACCTGATGGGAACAGACCAAGTTGCATCGCAAACCACCAGTGTGTTCATGACATGTGCAAAACCCATACAGATATGTGAGTGGTGCCCGTGTGGTGCAAAGGGCCATCTGCAAGCCAATTGTTTCTGTGAAGGCAGAGGACGAGAGGGTCAGCAGCCAGCAGGGTGGACAAAGCCTATCCCTAAGAAGGGCTCACCTGCAGTGAAAGCATTGGCAGCCAAACAGGCTGCAGTGACATCGACGGCAGTGAAATCTGAGGCTACTGCATCTAGTCCTCAGATTCCGCCACAAGCTCACCTTACGACAGCGACCGCACGTTCCGCGAACATGAGTGATGAGCATGTATCAGAATATGATTATCATATATTCCTGGCCAGCACCCACCTCGTCAATCTACCACATGTCGAGCCCATCAGCCATGGAACCCTGAGGGCCTATGCTGACACCGGTGCTACTCACCACTGCTTTGTGGATCATGCAAGTTTCGTCAACTATATGCAGCTCACTCTGATGCTGGGAAATGGAGCCAAGAAAGGTTCTTTAGCATCGTAGGAGTAGGCAATGTTGCCATCAAGATGATGATAGATGGATGTACATCCATTATTATATTTCAGAACACCATCCATACTCCCGATCTCATGGCAAATCTGATATCGATGCCATGCCTTGACCATGCTGAATATTCATTCTCTGGTGCAGCGGGGATGATGAACGTGATGGGCAAAGCAGGGAAGACAATGTTCACCTGCATCTTGACATCGGGTGACCTGTATGAGGTGGAGTTCACTAAGGTCGACTTCACTACCTTGCCAAATCTCCCTCGCGCATACCTCACTTATGATCATCATGCACTAGCGGTTGATGGCCACAGTTCTGTGGCTGACATCGCAAATTGGCATCGCAGACTGGGTCATATTAGTGAACAGACTGTACAGACGATGGCACGATCCAATGTGGTGTCAGGTATGATCATGAAGGGTGACCGTCCTGCTGGGAAGTGTGAGGATTGTCTTAAGGGCAAGCAAACCCACGCACCATTTTGTGCATCTGAAGTCAAGATGGAGCTCCTTGAATGAGTCTATGTGGATTTGATGGGATCATTTCCCATTGCTTCGCTAGGTGGTGCTCGATACCTTTTGACAATCGATGATGACACATCGTCCTATACCATGGTATACCCACTCACCACCAAGTCAATGGATGAAACATTACACCATTTTCAAACTTTCCATCACATGGCTGAGTGACAGACAGGTTGCAAGCTGCACCACATCCACTTTGACAATGACACTGAGTTCAATAATGGAGCATGGGCAGCTTACTCCCAGGACAACAGAATTGTTGCAGAACTGACTGTGCCCTATACACCCCAGAAGAATGGCATAAGTGAGCACAGCCATTGCGCCCTTGCTGACCATGCTCACGCTATGCTGTATAATGCAGGCATCCTGAACCATTTGTGGGTGAAGGCTTTCCATATCACTGTCTACTTGAAGTCACTTACTTCCTCCGCAAGGCAGAAAGGCTGCACTTCATATGAACATTGTCATGGATGCGTGCCCAACGTAGTGCACCTGCATGCATTTGGTTCAGTAGCATGAGCTAGACTTACCGATGACACCCAGACCAAGCTCGATCCTAAGTCATGCTGCTGTATCCTCATGGGTTATACTGACAATGCAAACTTTCGCTTGTGGGATCCCACTGCTGGTCCAAGGGGAGGGATCATTAGGTCACACGATGTGGTCTTTGAGGAGGTAAAGGGTCACCGCACCTGTAAATTCACTGACATCTATGGTCAGGAGCCTACTGTCTCCACTGCAGCTGCTCATCCTGCCCCTATTTCACCACCTGTACCCAATCCTGATCCAACATCACACAATGGAGAAGTTCCACTCGTTCCCGGTGATGCACCTGTCCCAGCACCGGCATCAGCCTCTGCTCCCGCTGATATGCTCAACCATGTCCTGGCCATGAGCAGCACTCCTAACCAAACCCCTACTGGTGGAAGGTGAACTGGGGCTCTGTCCATCTGCAGTCCCTTTGGGCTACAGTCACAGGAAACTTCAGATGATAACGCAGTGATGGGCAGCCATGAGTCATTCAGCTGTGATGCTTGAAACGGAGTCAGATTGTCAAAGGTTCTGGATCGGTGAGTGTCAGACTCGACTGTATGGATGCCTCTGACCAGGAAACAGTCAAAAGCTGGAATGTGAGGGTGTGTGGGTGTAGAATGCAATTGGTGACTTTCGTACTCATGAACTGTGGTGGCTGAAGGTCTGGGCTGGGGCACGAGGATCTTCTATATCTGAAAAGTGCTGGTCAAGCACCGACAAGCAATCCCTAACTGCCTCCAAACTGGGTCAAGCGCCAATGAGCAACCCCTAACTGTCTTCGAGCTGGGATAAGTGCCGACAACGAAGCCCTGAGCACTTCTGACTGGAATGAGCATCGCCAATGAATCACTGGGTGTCTCCGAATGGGAACGAGCACCGATGATGAACTCCTGAGCACTAGCGAGGCTATGGAATCCTGGTTTGAGACTTGTGACTGGTGGCGTGTGAGCAAAATGCAATGGCATGAGATACGAAAACACGATAACATGACTTATCTGGCTGAAACCCGAGTTGAGCTAGAGGCCACTGCTGAGAGTGCTGCCTCTCTTGGTGTCGAGAATACCAGAGATGTAGAATGTGATCGCAATAGACGTAGACATAGTCGGGCACAACATCCTAGCATAGACAAGATGAGAACTGAGCACTGCTGCATGGGGAAACTCCATGTAAAACTCTCTTATTATTCCTATGTACAGTGTAGATTATATAGTGGATCAGAAATGAGCCAGCTGAGTCGCTGAAATGCGTTTCTGATCCATTGAAACCTGTCACAAAGCTCGTCCCTGCCCCCTCTCAACATCATACAGTCGGGGAACTGGAAGTCTGGCCCTGTCAGGGTTCATTGGTCTGCTACCCTATCTTCTGTTCAGTTAGTGCACTTGTTCATTTCCAAGTTGCCTAACTGGTCGTGTTTCACTCTCGCGCTGTACCTTGTAATCAGCTATGCTTTCTCGTGGCTCGCTCGTCATTTCCGTGCCTCATGTTCACCTTCTGACTCCTTTATGCAGTTCCATGTTCCCAGGCTGTCAGTAAAGTCTTCTTTGCCCACTCTGGACTGTTCTGGCTCGGTGTTTGTCTTTTCAGATCGTGGCGACTCGCTATCCGATTGTGTGATAGTCAGACACAGTTTCTGGCATTTTCTGATCACAGAATATCTCAGTACGTATCACCTCCCCCGTTCTGAGATCTGGACTGTCCTCAGTCCATTGGGCTTGCATACTTTAGATAGCACAACCTCACTGTCAGTTTTCCAGTCCTTCACCACTATGTCCCACGTCGACGGTGTCTTCAGCCTCGCTGCTCACACTCGCAGTGTCTACCCCATTGACGGTGCTTGCATTTTACTACTGCAGCACCTGGATAATCTTGTGTTCACATCACCCACTCCCGATGCTCATGCCTTGGTCTGGCAGGGCTGGGCCACGTCATTTTTCACTTACGAGGTGAGTATTTCGTGTTGCGATCTGCCTTCTGCCAGTCAATGCTGTGGCCTTCCAGTTATGCATGACCCGTGACTATCCAGACCATGCCAAGAGTTTGCTGCATGAGGTCAATTCAGTGTATGACTGGCTCATGCTGAATGCGAGCCCCGACTTTGATTGGATCCCAGCAGTGGTCCCCTCCACCCTGAGAGGTTATTCTGAGGCTGTCGGCACCGCTGACCTGATTTGTTCTCCTGCTGCGATGACTGAGATCATGCAGGAGATTATTGAGGCTGCAGATCGTGGTGATTTTGACAAGTTCCCTGAAGGTCATGACCTTACTTGCGATCACTTTCTAATGGCGTACACAACAAACGATGTTTTCGTGGAATGACGCGACCGTACATTCCTTGGGCAGACCATCCTAATTGGCTGCTGGTGGATAGATTATGATAGCTGACATGTTCCTTCTTCTTCCACTATGTCTCGTGCTATGGCAGAGATTCTTCAGGATGTGGTCAAGCATGAACCTGAAGTTGCTGCAGCGACTCTGCGAGTTCAGTGACATTCAGTGTCCATGGTCACCACCAAGTCCTCTGAGTCAGATACACTGCGCGAGTACTATGCTGCCATCCACACCCTCTCAAAGCATATGCAGATCATGTTCTTGAGTTTCGGAAAGCCGTGGCCGCATATCAAGGTACGTTCATTCGCTTTTCACCTCCTCCGCGTCTGTCACAAAGCACAAAGCACTTAACCCAATTAAAGGCAAGTCTGCTTGTGTGACCTGCACAAATAAATCCATAACATAAAAGCCTGCCACAAGGGCTAGGCTGAGGATGGCGCACAGTGGCATACAACCAGCAATCAAGGCAAAGCCCCAATGCATGGCCTTGCACAAAAGGTAAAAGGGGGGAGCTGGCCTGCTGGCCGCATACAATAGTTGAATGAATCTAAGGTCTTTCCTTAGATCCTCATGTGCTTATATACATGTCGTGGTGGACCCTGGGTACCCTAACTATGGTGTACTTACTGAGGTCCTGTCCTGTCTACATGTGAACATATTGCCAAAACCAGTAATGGTTCTGGACTTCGCTATAGCAACTATCTATAAAGGCCATGGATACGTCAAGGTAATCCTACTTTACCCAATGAGATAATTGCCTGAAGGTGGTGCACTATTTGAGTGGCTGAAGTGGTGCCACTTATTGAGTGGCCAATGGGGGTTCTGCCATAGCGCATATTCTAATGCTGGTGCTACTATTTGGCAGCCATGTAGTTGGTGCTGCTATTGAGCAGCGAATTGGGTGCTTGCTAGCTTGATGGTCCAATGAGCACAGGTAAGCCTATTGTGGGCCAAAGAGTTTCATTCTGGGCAAGTGGCCTGTTGTCATGTGATCAACGCCTGATAACTTCTGAATAGGGCAAGTGGCCAGTGTCACGTGACTGGGTGGCTGAATCATGGGCGCTTGGTGGTCATGTGGTAGACACAGTCATATCCACGATGTATGTGGTGGTATTGTGCTGTTTGTCTAAGTATTCACTTTGTGAAACCAATATGAAGGTTGGCGTCCAAATTACCACTTGTGGTTGCCGAATGATGACTTTATTGGTGCAAAAAGAAAGGTGCCACTTAATACTGTGACAGCGTCGCTTATGTTTCTGCCACCAGTGCTCTAAGTGCTTGATGGACGGCGACTGCATGATTATGCCTTCCGAGCATGGTGGGCAGGCTTGCATTCACTGCTGAGTGTCACACCTTCCTCCAGTACATCTTCTTTTTCTTGATCAGAAATGCTGCCGTCCTGACTCCACTCCTTTTGTGATCATAGGCACCAAATTGCTTGTTGATACCGAGCAGATTCTTAGCAAGATTCGTGGACTGGCCGTTCCCAGCACTCTGCTAGTCGAGATCTATACACAGGAGCACACGTGACTGGTAGTGGAGGTGACTCACATTAGCGAGCATCTTCAGTTCTGGAAAACCTTCCTGGCTGCGAATAGGAAAGCCACGTAGTCTAGAACTGCCTCGATTTGTCTTTTGTGTACTCCACTTTCTCATATACAATAGTCTGACTGTGTTCATCTCTGGCGCTGTGCCATGAATCCATTGTTTTGTGTGGCTTCGATCAGGGTTGGCTCGCATTTTGGTCCTGCAATAGAAGTCCCGTCTGAGTCACTCTAACTGGCTTCCTCAGAAAGCCAACTGGCTCTACCACGTGGTAGAGGATGATACCGTGAGGTTTTAATGACGCATTCGCATGTCCGAGCTTGGCCAGTCCAAAACTTTCTGCAATGGTGCCCAACTAGCCTCTTCCTCTACCTTGATCTCTTAGCTCCTCGATGGGTGACCCTGCTACTCCGTTGTCCTCTCAATGTCCTGCGACTCCAGTCACTTCTCCATGCAAGATACACCTGTCTTTCAAACCTTTTGGCTTCTCACAGCGCTAATGCCTTTCCTTGACATCTAGGCAGCAGACTTAAAGGACGCTGTCATGGGCGTCGTTTACTTCACTTGGGAGGCATTGTGTGAGCAGAGCCTCTCAATCCAGCTGTGGATTTCGAATTCCTGATATGCAAGTTCCTTTCTGCCCTGGTAAGTGAACGCTCCATCGTACTCGCAGCTGGCTAACTTGCTCCCTCCTCTAGCATGATCTTCATGCCTTCTCAGACTCAGTGTCACAAACGCGCTATACCCAGTTTTGCCAAAAAGCCCAGGCACATCTCGACTCCTTTGTTCAACCATCATGGCTATCGTGATGCACAGAGTTGATCTCACCTGAGCGGGCTGCTGCCTTCTCGGCAAACAAGGTGCATGTGCTGGACTGTGATCTCTTGTCCTCTACTAACATGATCCTTCAACTCTCTCTAGGAACTGAGCCCCCCTCCAGTGACTGAGGCTTCTGCGCATACTCCTTCCAATACTGGGGAGGTCGTGGCCTCCAACTCTCTGACCGCTTCCAATGGCACCAACGATACTCTCCTCTCAGTTGCTCTGGCCTCTTTTTCTGTGGTGGCCATGCCTGTCACAGCTTCTGCTGCTCTTGGTGATCCTGTTCCTACATTTGAGTTTCAGGCTCGTGTGGCCAACCCAGTTGCTATTGACCCTCCTTTCGACTCAGATCTTGCAGCCATGGAGGTTGATCCTCTACTCACTTTCGTGTTCAATAAACCTCCCTCTGTGCAAGGCTCTGAGACCATCGAGCTCTCCAGCAATGATTAGGACAATAGCGATAGTGATGAGGTCAAGTTCATGGGTGGCACGATCCCCAACTTGTCTCCAGTGCATCCGAAGAAGGGCAAGGGTTGTGGTCGCAAGTCTATCAAAGCTTCTAAAATAACTACGACCTCAGAGGACCAGTATGTGTGCATGCCTGTGTGCACCTTTCGTGATCGCTCCCTTCCCGCAGAGTATCTTCCAGCTTGGCAGAAGCTGTCTATCGCTTGCTTGGTAAGTGCTTGCCTGGCCCACCCTTTTCCATCGCTAACTCCTTTCTACAGTGTTGCTATTGCCTTCTGTCTGAGAAGGTGTCTCGTACTTGCATGCTAAGCAAATTCCATCCTAAATGCTGCAAATGTCACCATGACCACAAGGCCTGCAAGTGGTGGATGCGCGATACGGTCCCTGACATTGACGATGCCGACAGATGGCTTTCGCTAAAGAAGCTGTACCATCAGAAGGATTGGCAACTGCCCAAGATGCTGGATGCTTCAGTGATTGTGAAGGCTTCCAGTCACCAGGGTGACTACGACGAGCAGATGTGTGATGTGAACACTGCCAGCAGCGATTACACCACAGAGCTCGAGCTTCTGCTAGACACACTGATTGACGAATATGAGACTGTGATTGCTCCGGCCCCATGCCTTCATAGGCCTCCCTCCTTTCTCATTATGTTCCTGGCTAACTGACCTCCCTCCAGGTCCAGCCCATACCTTACCCGACATGCCCGAGCCTGATGTTGAGTCCGACGCTGAAGGTGCACCCGAGGCTGTGACCGTCAAGCAAGAGAAGGGCACCACTGGGCCTTCTTGTCATAAGCTGGTGATTCCTCCACCACTGCACGGTATGTTCCTTTCTGCATCATTACTTCTTTGATAATGGTTTCTTTAGATCATTTCGACAGGCCTCCCAAGTGTCCTCGCTTTGATAACTCCAATCCTGATGACATCATGACACAGCATGCCATGCCGGCACCATTGTTGTTGCACCAACCAAGGTCCTCAAGCTGCACTCATCAAAAGGGCTCCTCCAAGGCCACGACTGTGAAGTCAGAGCCGATTCATGCTTCGACAGCTGTCATCGAGCCCTCTGCAGCTAGTATGCAATGCGAGCGGATGATCGAGCTTTCACAACAGCTCCTCAGGGAGAACTGTGCCTTGAGGGCTCACAAGTCGTGACTTCGTTGGTGTGCTGGGCTTGGGCTGGGGCGATGCAAAGTGGGCCGTCCACATATTTCTTCACATCTCTTTCGTGATCTCTCCCTACGTGCGCATGGAGCAAGTGTATTAGTTAGTTGTTTTGAATAAACTGTGTGCCAAAAAGCCTTGTGCAATCTTGCCTGACCAAAATATTAAGAAATTTGCCACCGAATATGATAGTCTTGTTCGAATCCTTGAGTCTCTAGCTGAGTCCTTGCCTATATATGATTGAATGATTAGTTCGAATCCTATACTTGTCTATTCTGACTCATTTGCATTGTACTGGTCCTGTGGTCCTTCGTCTTCTTCCCCTGACTCCTCATCTTCTTGTTCTTCATCTGGTTCCTCTTCTCCTTGGTCATCCACCTGATGCATCTCCATCAATCTGGTTTCCGATACGTCCAACATTTCTTCTGTGATTGTGATCTTCTTCTTTGCCACAAAGGGCACCACCCTGAATGCAGCAATTGGTCAGTCCAATACTGCTCCATCCAACTTGCAGAGCATGTATGCTCCTCCCCAATTGCGAAACAGCACAATATATGGTTCAATATAGTGTGGTCTCATTTTCCGATTGAGTGCCTTCTCGATCTGCATATGCTGAACCAAGACTAGATCTCCGCGCTTGAAGTTAAAATCCTTGATCGCATTCTTGTGGACTTGCTTGAATCATCTGGCTGCTTTTCTTCTGGCTTCATAGACTGTGTTATGGATTATTGCGACCTGTTTACGGCACTTCTGCAATGCTTCAGCTCAACTCACAATTAGGTCAGTTGTTGTCACCATTCCGACTGGGGCTGGAATCAAATACGTTGCTTCAACAATGTCAAGCGGTAGGACTGAATTGGTACCTGTGACTGCAAAATAGGGTGAGCAACCCATGTGTCTTTTAACCGTTACTCTTTCTGACCAGAAAACGGAATGTGCGACTTGACTCCATTTGCGCTCCGCTCCATCAGCAGCCTTGAATAGACCTTGCCGAACATCGAAATGTGGTCACTCAACGATTCCATTTGCTCATGAGTTGTAGCCACTTATCCGGATGTGCTTGATGTGATATTTCTTCTCCACATAGGCTGCTGCCTTTACGAATGGTGCGCCATTGTCGGTTACGATTTCTGATAGCGCCCCCCCAGTGACAGAGTATATCTTCGAAAATTCAATTGCCGAGGGTCTTTGCAGTTTCTGCTCAAAGCATACAGAACTCAGGATAGTGGGTGAGTGAACACCGACCCTGCACAATGTACTTGAATCCATTGAGGGCAGCATATGCATTGTGTCGATATATATCTTTGCAAATATCGGGGCTGGAATCGCAACAGTCAGTGGAATGAGAATCTGATGAATCTGTCGCTTTTGACATATTACACAAGTCTTGACAAACCAAGCAATGTTAGCCACGATGTTCGGCCACCAAAAGCATTCGCGAATCAACGACCGAGTCAGAAAAATGCCTTAATGCCCAAGTTTGTCATGTGCTCCAGTGAGGACCCGCAGTCAGTTCTCTGGTAATATGACTAGCTTGTGCAATCCTTGTCCATCTTTCCTCCAGAGATGTCCATCACATTTGAAGAAGTGGACCACATACTTGAGCATTCGATCGTATTCTTTGTCCGAGTAGTTCTCCGGTCGCTACACCATTTCTAGCCAGTCAGTAATTAGAGCAATAAGATGGTCATTCTGCCTGGCTCATGTGGATCATGGAACATCCTTGTAGCTGACCACCTTCGGGTCCCCAGCATCTCGCATGGTTTCTGATCCATCATTATTTTGAGTTAGAAGCACAAAAACTGATTGCGTGGCTGGCTCCTTTCCCGTTCTGAAAAATTGACCGTCCTCGGTCAACAGTGGATTACTCAGAAGCTGCACTCAGGGAAGTACTTGATGCATAAAGCCATTCATGTGATCCACCCAGTCATCGAAGTTGGTGTCCTCGATCAGCTCTGGTGGCAGGTCACCTTGCTGTCTTGGTCAGCATGATAATCCATCTGGACCATGCATGACTCCTGGGATGTGGACTAGTCAGAAATGGTACATGAGGATCGCAATGACCTAACAATTAACGCTTGTGCTCGAGGCAATGTCTGAGTTCTGCAACATGTCCTTAATGTACTTGGCATCCACTTCAACTATCAGGTTACGAATGCTGATTAGATAGACCTTGAGTGCTCGCAAAGTGCGATATAGACTGTGGAGCTCGAGCTTCAGTTGCGAAAACCTCTTGCAGTCATTGAGCGTGATAGACCCAAACTGATTGAAAAACCGCTTTTTCGATCTGTCAGTTGTGCCTTGGCACAACTGTTATCCAACTGCGATCAGAGATGTGTCCATTGCAAGAATAACTGGTGCTGATGAGTCGTAATTGATCATTCACAAAGCTGGTGACTCCAATAATGCCTGCTTTAGGTCTTCCATCACTTTGAGCTGCACCTCGCTGAATTCAAATGGAACTCCTTTCCGAGTAAGCTGCACAAGCGAGTGCGCTCGCTTTGCGAAGTCCCTGATAGAGATCCTTGCAACTCTGATCGTGCCTAGAAAAGCTCGAACTTCTGATAGGTCCTTGCATGGGCCTCAATTTCTGACTGTCCAGACTCACAATGCATCTGGCAATCATCCAATCAGAGTACCCCTGTGTCCGACGACCGTGATCTCTTTGGCGCATAGCGTTAACTTCGTTCCCGAGAAGATACCTCCAGCATACTCCATTTGCTGCACAATGCGATTGAGATTCTGGAAGTGTTCCCAGATGAATCGTCGAATGCCATCATTGCCTGCGATCATCTCGAAGCTTTTGTCTGAATTGAGATATCTAGTCGCTGGACCTTTGACTGGGACATCATCAATGTACGGCATGGTGAACGCAGGAATTTTCGATTGCAAAATGTATGTGACGTCGTCGTGGAAGATCGGCACCGAGTTTGTCCATCCCATCGGAAGGGTGACAAGTTGCAAAGTGCCAAAAGGCATCTGGAATGTGGTGAGGTCATGCGATGTCTCCGCTATGAGTCTCTCATCATATCCAACATATAGATCAAGCATGGCTCCACAGGCATGACTGCTGAACTGCTCTGCTAGATGCTTCGGAGTCAGTGTAACTCTCGAGTGCTGGATTGTGATGGCGTTGAGTGGTTTGAGACTGTGAATGAGTCGCAGAGACTTTTCATCCTTCTGTATGACACAGAACCATCGTGATCAATATGAGAAGTTTGAGGGCTCGTAGACTCCAGCATCCAGCTTCTTCTTGATAATTGTGCAGACTTCCTCGTAAATGCTTGGTGGAATCAGAATGTTCCGCTGAACCCATGGCTGATGTGGAATGACTGAGAAATCAATCAGCGGAAAATACTGTGACTTGAATTGTCCTCACTCAGAATTGCTCCAAGCAAATGCTTAATTGTGCAGACACATGAACGCGTGCATGAGGGCTCGCTGTTCTGGCAATAAGAATCCTGGCTGGTGCATCACATCCAAAACCTCCATGCATTCCTTCATATAGTGACTGGTTAAAAAGAATGGACCCGGCCACTCTGGAAGCTTAGGTAGGTGTCGCAAAGGATCTCCATGTATCCATCAAATGATTCAAAATTGCTCGGGTACCGATGCGATTACTGGTCAAGTTTTGAGCATGACTGGCTTGTACTTTTTCTTGGTCACAGCATAGCCTGCTCTCGAGCTTGACTCTTGATCGCAATTGTGACCTATGATCATCTGTAGCAGTCATGAAGTCGAGGTTCGAGGGGTCGGTAAAAAATCTGAGGTGACTGTGTACAATGATGATACTGCATCAAGGGCCTGTCCTGAGGCTTGCAAATAGCTTGACTGAATGGAAATGGGATCGGAAGATACGACTGGGGAATAGGCTGATATGATACAGGTATTTTTGCTGCTTACATCAATGATTAATGCCATCCCACTGCTTTCAGTACTCATATCTTCCACTAGTGAAAACCCAGATTCTTCAATCACAAATGCTGTGCCCTGACTCGTGGTGGTCCTTTTGGTATCGTTGTGACTCTTCCTGTGTTGGGACATATGATTGTAACTGTCTGGTTTCCATTGAAGAAGTTGTGCACCATGCTCTTGGTGAGCACGTCAAATGGTCATCCTAAAAGAATATCGTATGCGGCTGTGCAAATGACATGAATTTGCAAGTAGAGGACGATATCTCTGACTTGGAATGGTACGTTGCGAATGAGTCCGAGTGACTGGTCGACTTCTCCATTCGCAGACTGCATGTTGAGCTTTATTGTCAGATCATAGATGAGTCCCAGTGAATGGCAGATGTCTTCTGACATTGCGACAATCTGGCATCCTGAATCTAGGATCGCCTGTACTCGCTCCTTGTTGTCGATGAGGGTGACTATCGATCGCAATGCATGCAAGTCTTTTGTGACTGTCAACTGTTCTGGCTCTTCTCCATTGTGAACGTGCTTCAAGTAGGCATCATATGGATCGGGAATGACTGAACCCGTCACTGCTAAAGGCTCCCCTCAACAGGTGAACTCTTCCTCCTGTCCGATCGTAGAACTGCTGTCTTCGCATTTTCGAAGATCATCACCATTCCAGTCGCACTTGGAGGTACTACTTGCTTCAGTGTGCATGCTTCACGATACTTGTTGCGCACATCTGGCAGTATTGACGGCAACTCCTCCATGGACAACGTTACTGCTGATGACTTCATTGATCGCTCGAATACTGTAGTCGCAAGCTCTGGCTGGTAGACTGGTGGTGCATTGCGACAAGCCACATCTCATGCTCCAGGCTTTGGTGCTTGCCCAAAATGACACATGTTCAGTGGAACGTATACTGCATCTCGAACTGATTAGAAAGAATGCTCTGGAACTGGGTCTGCGACTACTGGCATAGACGAACTCGGTGCGCTCTCAGTGGCCTTCTCTGGCTCCACCTGAGGCTTCTGCTGTTTGGGTGCCTTCTCAGACTGTGCTGGCTTTGCGGCCGCTTCTGCCGGTCACCTCGGTGGCATATGAACTCTGTCGAAGACTGGTCGTGATCACTTCAGATTGAACAACTCTTGCTTCAGAGCTTCGATCCTATCTTCTGTGCCTAGCAATAATGAGCTGGCTTTGTCTTCTGAGACCTCAAATAGATTTGCTGCTGAGACCGATGCCATGACTGGAGTCTGGTTCCATCTGTGCCACTCATAAATCTGATCGTGAATCGTGATGCCTGAAATTGTGCGAGGGACGAAGGTGCCATTTGGAAGGACAACTTTTCTGGCTGCATTGCACATGCACTTGCCACTCTTAATGTCCTCCTCGACATGCTTGCATGTTTCGATCATGCCTCCGGCTTCTCCACAATAGTGGCAAAATCCACTCAGATTTTCATTTGTGACTGGTGGTCTGCTTGCAGTCACAGTTTGACTCCCATTCTGCTTCACAACTCCTCCAGTCACAGCTGCTGTGAGTGTCTGAACTGACTTGACCAAGCTTTCAAACAATCAATCCTTCTTGTTCCGTAACCACCATGTTCGCTTTAGGCACCCAACCCACGACCGCCAGCAACGTTGACATGGTGGCTCTTGGCGTTGAGCCTACTCCTCCAGTGCATTCTTTTGCTACTGTTCCACCCACTCCACCTGCTCTGGCTGCTACACTGTCTTGGACCTCCAAATTGGAGGGACGGGACAGGGTCATCAACCACTTTGGCAGCCTTCTGTGCCATGTCAGAAACTCTGTGCGGGCTCTGGAGGAGGCCATAAACATCGCCATCGACCACCCCAACCCCACTACCTATCTAGACGACACCTCCCATGTCGTCACCAAGCTCACCACCATCATCCGCGAGTTCCACATTGAGCTGCCGGCTGACTCTGACATCAACAACTTGGACCCTGGTATGGCGGCTCTTCAAATCCTCGACCACTTTTTCTGCCTCAACCCTGCCCTGGATGATGAGCTAGAGGGGGAGGAACATGAACTGGAATACCAGCACCCCCACCACGGTGAAGCCCTGTCCATGAACATCGACATTCAGGCTGCCATCACCAAAGCGGTGGAGGATGGCATCCACATGGGCAACACGGCCATCACCACGAGGCTCTCAGCTGTCAAAGTGCAGCTTGCACACAACTGGCTGCCTCTGCCACCTTCCCTGCCCAAGCCGCTTGGCCCACAGAATCCACCGCCTCTGCCACCCCATCACCAACAGACTGTCAGCTCCACCACCGTGACCATAGCCCAGCCTAATGCACCACCTCCTGGGGCCCCTACCATGGCTCAGGTGGCTGCCAAGTCTCGAGAGAAGAGCTACGTGCTACTCATCACCCCCGCATAGCACGCTACCATCATAGAGGGCAGAACTATGCCCCAATGGTATGCTAAGATCCACACCTGCCTGCGCAAAATGCCAGCGTGGGCTAAGGTAAGTTTTCTCGATCTCCATTTCGCTGGACCTTCCAAGGTCATGGCAGTCTTTTCCAATGAGTCACCGGATGCTCTCATCTGTGAGTGTCTCTGCCCTATCAGACATCTCCTGGGTGTCATGCCCCATGCATCCTCACCTGCACCAGAACTGCATGAGCAGGCCACTGTGCCTCAGGATTTCTGCCGGCTTGCACCAGTTATGAAGCTCTTTATTCTGAGCTGCCCTCTCCGCCACCCAGACATGGGTGCTATGCTCACTGAGAAAGAGATCCTGGTGGAGCTGCGCCATAATTTCATGTTTTCCATGGTCCATTTCAATGGCCTTCCTGGCTTTATCATTCCCAGCGAGCGGCGGGAGCAGCTCAGTAAGTCCTCCATCATCGTGTCTGTCGAAGACACCCACCGTGATTTCTGCGCACGTAACCTTCTTGGGCGTGATAACCATGGTGACACCGCTGGATTCATTTGGTTCTATGGTTCCCATATGATGGTCAAAAAGTCCAAGGACAGACCGATCTTCCATCAGTGCATGCGATGCTGGCGACTCACTTACCTCGAGAGCCACTGCAAGAAGTGTACCCCTGTGTGTCACTTTTGTGGTAAAACTGACTATACGGCGGACATGCATCATCATGCCTGCCTTATGTGTAATCATGAAAACTGCCCGAGCAAGCAGCCCTGTGATCCTACTCACTTTTTCTGTGTCATCTGTGGCACCAATGGCCACAGCACAGCTGATACCACCTGTCCTGCACGGAAAGATTACCGCATCCCCATTTCGCGATCAAACTCTTCATCATGAATCTCACAACCGCACATCTGAATGTGGCCTGGTCTAATCCGCGTGTCCACGGCTTGGTTTCTTCCTCTTGCTATGATATATACTTCCTCCAGGAGCTGTGGTGGGGCCAGATTGGCATCGACCCCCCCACAGCTCCGAATCTGGCACCACTGTTTATGACCATGTCAACGTCCAGCCCTATGGTCTGGATGCCTTTCATTTTTCTTCCACCACTGCCTTACCGCACCCTCGAGCCAGCATCCTGGTCCGGCGTGGCTTACTTGACACTTATCATATTTCCATGCGCACCGATCTGATAACGGATCCAGACCTAGTTATCGTTCACTTTGTCTCTCGCTTTGACCCCACACACTTGTTCTTTGCTATCAATTGCTATAATGAGGGCATGCGATCTCACATCACATCCTCCCCATTCTCTGTAATATCCCTTTCCCATCCAAAGCAAATCTCATCATCAGTGGTGATTTTAACATTCACAACCCCCTTTGGTCATGGACTGGCTATACTCTACGCCTAACTAGTCCTGTTTCATCCACCTTCGTTCAGTGGCTCGAACGTGAAGCTCTCATTTTGCTTAACGATCTTGACCAACCCACTCACATGGTCGGTGACGACCCACTCTCAGGGATGATCATCGACCTGATCTGCGCAATCTCCAGTGAACACTTTCATGTTCACGGAGTGGCTGCAGTGTCCACCCCTTTCGAGTCTGATCATGCTATGCTAACCACCATTCTCTCCCACACTGCCCATCTGGTCCCAGTTGACCTGAGTTTTAGAGTAGATGTATCTCGATGCAGGGATTGGCTGTCCTGCCTCGACCGTGAGCTTACTATGTCACTACCCTACTCCACCTACTCTACTGTTGATGATCTAGAGGAGGGAGCCCACGTTCTGATGTGGGCTCTAATCACCGCTAATCAGGAAGTCTTTCCACAGTGCGCCCATGCTCACCGCGCCTCACAGCTCTGGTGGAATGACTCCTGTGATCTGGCCCATGTCCGCGTGCAAACCACCACCTCCCGAGATGAAAGATGCGAGGCCAAATGCGCCTTGTCTACAACCATCCACCAAGCATGAAAAGACTGGGCATGTGAGGCACTTGCTCATCTCCAACACGTCAACCCATGGCGCCTTGCCTCCTGGACCAAAGGAGTGCGAGTGCCCCCCTACCTGTTATTCGCATGGGTGGGGAAGTGGGCTCCCTGCCAGCTGATGTGGGTCAGCTACTCACTCATTTCTACTTCCCCCTGTCTCCTCCTCTTCCTGATCTGCCTCCTCTCTTTGCATCTGCTCCTCCACCCGTGAGATCTGCCCACCCACTTCTGCTATCTGAAGTGACGACAGCTATAGAATCAGCATCTAATTATTCTGCACCAGGAGTGTCTGGTACCTCCTGGTGCCTTCTAAAATGGGTCTGACAGTCCAGTGCGTGAGATCTCTTCTTTCATTTTCTCTCTGCATCTTTGCGCTCGGGTCATCTGCCCACATCTCTGAAGGAAGCTGCAGTTGTGTACTTGCCCAAACCGGGCAAGGCAGACTATACCGTCTCCAAGGCTCACTGCCCTATCGCGCTCCTTGAGACCCTGAGCAAAGTGCTTGAAAAGGTCCTCTCCGCTCATTTTAATTTCCAGATCGGAGTCCACAATCTCGTTCCAGGCTCCCAGTTTGGCAGGCAGGGTCAGCATTCTGTTGTGGATGCCGGCATCGTCCTCACGCATTACGTCCGCACAGCATGAGAGAACAGCTTTTCAGCCACCCTCCTGTGCATGGACATGGAAGGTTACTATAATAATATACGTCATGATATCCTTCATTCCGGCCTGCTTTCCATGGGTTTTCTGGCCAACGAAATCTGTTGGACCATGTCATTTCTCTCGTCTTGCACGGTCTGTCCTAAGCTCAACTCCAAGCTCGGTCCGTCCTATTCTGTCGCTGCTCTCAGCATTCCACAAGGTTCCCCCCTTTCACCTGTCCTGTCCACTATCTATTCTTCTCCCCTCTATGCATCTCTCAATCCTTTTGTTCATCCCCAACAGTCCACTGGTGGTTACGTGGACGATTTCTCCCTCCTCGTCGTCTCTCTTTCTTTGAATGAAAATGCTCTTGTCATCCAACGCACCCTGCCACGCGTCGGGCACATGTTGAACCAGCTCAGGCTCACCATTGGCATGGCCAAAACTGAGCTCATTCACTTCACCTCCCCCAACCATTCCCTCGACATTAACCCCACGCTGCGAGTTCAGTGGCAGGGGAATCAGGTCACCATCTGCCCTGCACCATATCTCCGCTGGCTCAGGATATGGTTTGACCAATGACTGTCCTTTGTTCACCACATCTGTGTCATGGCCTCGAGGGCAACCTCTCATGTCACTGCCTTCCGCATGCTGGCTAACACCCAGCACGGCATGACAGTTGCGCAAGTGCGCCTCCTTTATCTCACCACCATCCTCCCTGTCCTTACTTTTGGCAGCCCCATGTGGTATGACCCATGGGGACCACGCTCACTCTTTCTCCCTCTCCAGCAGGTCCAAGTCAATGCCTTACGATGGTTTCTGGGTGCCTGAAGGTCTACGCCCCAGGTTGCCCTCAACCTTATCTCCAGCATCCTGCCGATGCGCCAGCAGCTCGACAAACTCAATGGCTTAGCTGCCACCTGCCTGCTCACCCTCCCCTCGAATCATCCCGTGTCTCACTGCCTCGCAGCGAACCATTCTGCCCACCCACCAAACTTCTCCCTCCTCAACCCCAACATCCCCGTGCATTATGGCAACTCTGCGGTGGACGTCCTCGAATGCGAACTGCCTGACTGCACTGTGCAACTTCACCCATGGCTCCAACCTCCGTGGGTGTCCGCTCACCCATGGAGAGACTGTGTCTCCATCACCATCCCTCCCCCTACTAAGGAGGGTTCTGAGGACTATTTACATACTTTCTTTTACCCTCTTCTCCATTCTTCTATCCCATCCCCTGAGGCCTTGTGGGTCTTCACAGATGGTTCCCAGGTCGACACACTGGCGCTGGCCCTCCACAATTGAAGAGCAGGTGCAGGTGCATGTATCATCCATCAGAGGGCCATAAAATATGAGTGGACGTGGAGCTTAGGCCACTGTGCTGAGGTTTACGATGCTGAGCTCTATGCCATGGTGGTGGTCTCCAGCTGCTTTGCCAGTTTTCTGGAGACCTATCCCAATATCACATGCATCTACCTCTGCACGGACAATAGAGCTGCACTGTTCAATATTCTGTTCCTGCATCCGCACAGTGGGCAGCCATTCTCCATTCGCTTTCGAGCACTTCTCGCTCCTCTCATGAAGCGATACCCTCTTTTAACTATTTCACTGCTCTGGGTCCCTGGCCACCATGGCGTGCTGGGAAATGAGGTGGCAGACTGTCTAGCCAAGGAGGGCACGTCCCTACCTGATAGTATCCTACCCACTTCAACATGGACCCAGCGCTGAGCACGAGAGCGAGCGACCACCTCCTGGCGAACCAAGTTCACTTCCACTGATCATCCCACCACGTTACGTTCTGCCTGGCTGTGTCAGCTGACCCTTACGCTACATCCTGTTTATCTTGATCACTACTTTGAATGTGACATCAAAGCCAGGTTGACCCAAGCCTTAACCGGCTACGGCTACCTGGCTCCTTATTTTTCCTCTCTTTTTGGAATGGCTGGCCCTGCTTGTCACTTCCATGGTTCCCCCTCTTTATGCAACCTAACAACCCCCAGCACACGTGAGCACACTCTGCTCCATTGCCCGAGGCACACGCATGCCCGGCACCTGCTCTTTCACCAACTCAAGCCTACATCCTGGGACCTGCACCGTCTGTGTAGCCGTCCAGACGGCGTTCATCATCTCACCTCTTTCATATCCCACACCTCTTCATTCACGGCTGCATCGCTAGCCCCACCAGACCTCGGATAGTTTACTGTTTTACGGTCCTGGAGACCTTTCTCAATCTCGCCCATAGTCCGCACATTGATACTTCGTCGCACGGTAACCACATGTATTTTACCCTACCAACCATGCATAGCGCGGTATAGAAATAAATGTACAAAAAAAAAAGCTTTCAACAAGCAATGAGATATCTTCACTCTTGATCGCTGGTGCACTGCTAGTCGACGTAGTTGTAGTCAGCTTTACTGTGGTCGGCCCTGCGCTAGTGCCATGCAACACGAACTTTGCTGGCTTATAGATGTCATTTACTAAGTAGGGATCATCTGGATAATGGTCTGGCTGCTTCAGCTGTAGGCATTGCGAAATCTGATTCCATAGCTCAGGCAAAAATCCTCGAATGAATGCGCGATTGCGTTCTGACTCCAAAATGCGAGTCTTGCCAATGAAAAATGAGGTGATAGCTAGGAACTCTCCATGATAGTTCCCTAGTTCTGCGATGGTCTGAATTCCCAGTTGGGCTCACTCTCTGACTAAGAGATCCATGTCTTGCACTTCCCATTTGTGCTCTGTATCTGCACCTGAATACAGCTCTTGGAGTACTTGTCGCAGATCGACATAGGTCTTTGTTCGATCTGTATATTCTGGAAGTGACTCAATGAGGTCGGCGACGTCTATATTGAGGTAACATTTCACCCATAGCTTCTTTTCTGCTTCAGTGTTTACTTGGCAACACATAAATAGGATTTCTAGGTCATCAAAGAAGCGAAAGAGAGTTCTTGGCTGATTGGGATCAAAGGTAGGTGCCGATCGATTGCCACAGAATGGCATTTGATTGGTTATTACTGTTCCCATCGTGACTGTGGCTGTGGTGATCAGGAAATTAAGTGTTTGAGTAGGGTTCTGGACTGGATTTGACACTTGTTCAGCTGCGAGGGCTGTTTCTAGCTCATCTAGAAGGGTCCTAAGTGAAACTTCTTGCGACAAAGCCTCGGAGATGTGTTCCGACTGTGCTTCTACTGTAGAAGACTTGGACGGATGATGCAATAGTGGGGTAAGCAAACTAAGTGGACTTGGGGTTCTAGAAGCTGGTGATGTGGATTGTGAAGCTGAGGAATGTGTTTCGAATGATGGAGATGGTCAAAAATTGGCTAAGTGTGGTCGGCCTTCTTTTGCTCGCTCGAATCCGGCCCTCTGAAACTCGTGTAGTCACCTGAGTCTTTGATTGAATGACGAGAAGACTTCTTCATCCGATGTTTCACCTATTGTGGTAATCCTGACTCTGTTTCAAGGGGATACCAAACTCCTTCTTCGATCTCTGATCGTAAGGCTGATGACTCGGTGCTGTGAAACTTTAAATTCTCTCCACCCCTCGCGGTGGGCTCCAGAAATGATATGCTCAACCGTGTTCTGGCCATGAGCAGCACTCCTAACCAAACCCCTACTGGTGGAAGGCGAACTGGGGCTCTGTCTGTCTGCATTCCCTTTGGGCTATGGTCACAGGAAACTTCAGATGATAACACAGCGACGGGCAGCTGTGAGTCGTTCAGCTGTGATGCTTGAAATGGAGTCAGATTGTCAAATGTTCTGGATCGGTGAGTGTGGGACTCGACTGTATGGATGCCTCCAACTGGGAAACAGTCGAAAGCTGGAATGCGGAGGTGTGTGGGTGTCAAATGCGATTGGCAACTTCTGTACTCGTGAACTGTGGTGGCTGAAGGTCTGGGCTGGGGCACAAGAACCTTCTATATCTGGAAAGTGCTGGTCAAGCACCGACGAGCAACCCCTAACTGTCTCCAAGCTGGGATAAGCATCGACAATGAAGCCCTGAGCACTTCTGACTGGAATGAGTGTCAACAATGAATCCCTGGATGTCTCCGAATGGGAACGAGCACTAACAATGAACTCCTGAGCACTAGCTAGGCTACGGGATCCAATAGAGACGGAATCCTGGTTTGAGACTCGTGACTGGTGGCGTGCAAGCAAAATGCGATGGCATGAGATACGAGAACATGATAACGTGTCTTATCTGGCTGAAACCTGAGTCGAGCTAGAGGCCACTGCTGAGAGTGCTGCCTCTCTTGGTGTCGAGAATCCCAGAGATGTAGAACATGATCGCAATAGACGTAGACGTAGTCGGGCATGATGTCCTAGCATAGACAAGATGAGAACTGAGCACTGCTGTGTGGGGAAACTCCATGTAAAACTCTCTTATTATTTCTATCACAGCAGATGTGATGCGATTTATAAATGTAGAAAATCGTGTGGGAATGTCAGCTGATGTCTTACATTTTTGGCAAAGCTTTGCCAATTTAGCATTTAACCAGTAAATAGTGCACATTCACAGCCAATGTGAAACATTTTCAACATAAAATGCCATGGTTGCAAATATTTGTCACATGTGTAAGAAATCAGTTGACATTCACACATAATTTCCCACATTGATAAATCGCATCATGTCTGCCGTGTATGTATAGTGTAGATTATATAGTGGATCAGAAATGAGCCAGCTGAGTTGCTGAAACATGTTTCTGATCATACATTGTGTTTCCGATCCATTGAAAAACCTGTCGCAAAGCTCGTCCCTGTTCTTTCTCTGTATCATACAGTCAGGGAACTGGAAGTCTGGCCCTGTCAGGGTCCGTCGGTCCGCTACCCTATCTTCCATTAGCACACTTGCTCATTTCTGAGTTGCCTAATTGGTCATGTTTCACTTCTCGCACTGCACCTCGTAATTGGCTATGCTTCCTCATGGCTTGCTCATCATTTCTGCACCTCATGTTTCACCTTCTGACCCCTTCACACAGTTCTGTTTCCTCAGGCTGTCAGTAAAGTCTTCTTCACCCACTCTGGACTGTTCCAGCTCAGTGTTTGTCTTTTCGAATTGCAGTGACCCGCTATCCGATTGTGCGATAGTCGAACACAGTTTCTGGTGTTTTTCTGATCGCAGAATATCTCAGTGCATATCACCTCCCCCATTCTGAGATTTGGATCATCCTCAGTCCATCGGGCTTCTGTACTTTAGATAGCATGCCCTCGCTGTCAGTTCCCTGGTCCTTCACTGCTATGTCCCATGTCAATGGTGTCTTCAGCCTCGCTGCTCGAGCTTGCAGTGTCTACCCCATTGACAGTGCTTGCATTTCACTACTGCAGCACCTGGATAATCTTGTGTTCACATCACCCACTCCCGATGCTCATGCCTTGGTCTGACAGGGCTGGGCCACGTCATTTTTCACTTATGAGGTGAGTATTCCATGTTGCGATCTGCCTTCTGCCAGTCAATGCTGTGGCCTTCCAGTTATGCATGACCTGTGACTATCCAGACCGTGCCAAAAGTTTGCTGCATGAGGTCAATTCAGTGTATGACTGGCTCATGCTGAACGTGAGCCCTGACTTCGATTGGATCCCAGCAGTGGTCCCTTCCTCCCTGAGAGGTTATTCCGATGCTGTTGGGACCACTGCCCCAATTCGTTCTCCTGCTGCGATGACTGAGATTATGCGAGAGATTATTGAGGCTGCAGACTGTGACAATTTTGCCAAGTTCCCTGAAGGTCACAATCATATTTGTGATCACTTTAAAATGGCATACACGGCGAACGACATTTTTGTGGATCAGCGCGACCGTACATTCCCTGGGCAGACCATCCCGATTAGCTGCTGGTGGATAGACTATGATAGCTGACATGTTCCTCCTCCTTCTGCCATGTCTCTTGCTATAGCGCAGATTCTTCAGGATGTGGTCAAGCGTGAACCTGAAGTTGTTGCAGCGACTCCGAGGGTGCAGTTGCGTTCTGCGTCTGTCATGAGTACGATGTCGTCCGTGGTCACCATCAAGTCTTCTGAGTCAGATACACTGCACGAGTACTACGTCACCATCCACGCTCTCCCAAAGTGTGTGCAGATCGTGTTTCTGAGCTTCGGCAAGCCATGGCCGCATACCAAGGTGCGCCTGGTCGCTTTCTTCATATTCAGCTCATTGCTTACATTCTGGCCACCAGTGTTTCAAGTGCTTGGTGGACAGGGACTGCATGATCATGCCTTCTGACCACAGTGGGCAGGCTTGCATTCACTGCTGAGTGTCGCACCTCAAGTGCTCATTTGTCTAGCCTCCCTCTAGTAAGCTTTTCGTCTTCTTGATCACAAAGGCTGCAATACTGACTTTATCCCTTTCATGATTGCAGATGCCAAATCGCTTGCAGAGACCAAGAGGATTCTTAGTGAGGTTCGTGGGCTGGCCATTCCCAATGCCCTATTGATCAAGATCTATACTCAGGAGCGTGCACGACTGGTTGTGGAGGCGACCCACATTAGCGATCATCTCCAGTTCTTGAAGACCTTCCTGGCTGTGAATGGGAAAGTCACGTAGCCTAGAACCATCTCAATTTGTCCTTCATGTACTCCGCTTTCTCATGTACAGTAGTCCAAATGTGTTCGTCTCTGACTTCATGCTGTAGATCCATTGTTTCGGTAGCCTCAATCAGAGTTGGCTTGATTTTGGTCCCACATAAGAAGTTCCATCTGAGTCACTTGAACTGGCTCCCTGAGAAAGCCAACTGGCTCTACCACATGGTAGAGGATGATACCATGAGGTTTTAATGACATGTTTGCATGTCCGAGCATGGCTAGTTCGAAATTGTCTTCAGTGTCCGATGGCGCCTAACTGTCCTCTCCCTCTACCTCATTCTTTCAGCTCGATGATGGGTCACCCCACTATGCCTTCATCTTCTCAGCATCCTGCAACTCCAGTTGCCTCTCCTCGCAAGGTGCACCTGTCTTCCTACCTTTGGCTTTTTGCATTGCTAACTTCTGTCCTTGACACATAGGCAGCGGACCCAAAGGACGCCGTCATGGGTATCGTTTATTCTGCTTGGGAGGCATTTCGTGAGGCAGAGCCCCTCGACCCAGCCATGGACTTCGAGTTTCTCATACGCAAGTTCCTTTCTGCTGTGGTAAGTGATCACGCCGTTGTACTCGCAACCGGATAACTCTCTTCATTTCTAGCATGATCTTTGCACCTTCTTGGACATGGTGTCGCAAACATGCTACACCCAGTTTTGCCACAAGGCTCAGGCACATCTCGATGCCTTTGTACAGCCATCGTGGCTTTCGTGGTGTGAGGAGTTGATCTCGCCCAAGTGAGCTGCTGCCTTTTCAGCGAGCAAGGTGCATGCACCAGACTGTGATCCACTATCTTTTGTTAACATGATCCTTCGACTCTCCTAGGATCTGAGCCCCCCTCTGGTGACTGAGGCTTCTGCTCACATGCCTTCTAATACTGGGGAGGTCATGGCCTCTGACTCTCTGACCGCTTCCACCGGCACTGATGATGCTTTTCTCTCTGTTGCTCTGACCTCTTCTTCTGTAGTAGCTGCACCTGTCATGGCTCCTGCTGCTATTGGTATTCCTGTCCCAAAGTTTGAGTTCCAGGCCTGTGCAACAAACCCAGTTGCTATCAACCCTCCTTCTGACTCTGGTGCTGTGGCTATGAAAGTTGATCCTCCACTTGCTACTGTGGTCACTGAATCACCTTCCGCACAAGGCTCTGAGGTTATTGAGGTCTCCAGCAATGATGAGGATGACAGCAATAGTGATGAGGTCGAGTTCATGAGTGGAAACCTTCTAAACCTCTCGCCAGTGCATCCGAAGAAGGGCAAGGGTCACGGTCGCAAGTTCACCAAGGCTTCCAAAATAACTACGAACTCGGAGGACCAGTATGTGCGCATGCCTGTGCATACCTTTCATGATCACTCCCTTCCTCCAGAGTATCTCCTGGCTTGGCAGAAGCTGTCTATCGCTTGTTTGGTAAGTGCTTGCCTGGCCCACACTTTTCCATTGCTAATTCCTCTTCCCAGTGTTGCTACTGCCTTCTTTCCGACAAGGTGTCTCACACTTGCACATTAAGTGAGTTCTGTCCTAAATGCTGCAAGTGTTACCATGACCACATGGCCTGCAAGTGGTGGATGAGTGATACAGTCCCTAACATTGATGATGCCGATGGATGGCTTTCACCAAAAAAGCTGTACCATCAGAAGGACTGGCCACTGCCCAAGATGCCAGATGTATGATGAGCAGATGCACGATGCGAACACTGCCAGCAGCAATTATTCCATGGAGCTCGAGCTCCTGCTGGACACACCGATTGATGAATATGAAACTGTGATTGCCCTGGCCCCACACCTTCGTAGGCCTCCCCTCTTTCAGTTTTGTTCCTGGCTAACTGACCTCCCTCCAGGTTCGGTCCATACCTTGCCTGACACGCCTGAGCCCAATGCCGAGTCCGATGCTGAAGGCACACCTGAGGTTGTTACCATCAAGCAAGAGAAGGGCACTGCTGGGCCTTCTCGTCATAAGTTGGTGATTCCTCTGCTGCCATGTGGTATGTCCCTTTCGGCATCATTACTTCCTTGCTAACGACTTCACTAGGCCAATTCAACAGGCCTCTCAAGTGTCCTCACTTCAACGACTCCGACCCAGATAACATCATGATGCAACATGCCCACGCCAGCACCATTGTTGTTCCATCTACTAAGGTTCTCAAGCCACACTCGTCAAAAGGCAAGGCTCATGCAAAGGGCTCTTTTAAAGCTGCGATCATAAAGTCAGAGCCATTTAGCTCTTTGCCAGCCACCATTGAGCCTTCCGAAACCAGTACACAACTTGAGTGGATGATCGCGCTGTTGCAGCAGCTTCACGAGAAGAATCAGGCCTTGAGGGCTCGCAAGCCATAATGTTGTTGGTGCATGATGGGTATGTGCTGGGGACTCAAAGCGGGCTGTCTGCATGGTTCTTCGTATCTCTATCGTGATCTCTCCCTCTGCACATGGAGCAATGTACTAGTTAGTTTGCTTGAATAAACCTGGATGCCGAAAACCTTGCGCAAGCTTTCCTGAATGAAATATTAAGTGAGATGTCACAAAATAGTGTTGTCTTGTTCGAGTCCTTGAGTCTCTTGAGTCCCTAGCTGAGTCCTTGCCTATATACAATTGAATTATTAGTTTGAATCCCTATACTTGTCTATTCTGACTCATTTGCATCGTACTGGTCTTGCAGTCCTTCGTCTTCATCCCCTGACTCCTCATCTTTTCGTTCTTCATCCAGTTCCTCTTCTCCTTGATCGTTTGACTGATGCATCTCCTTCAATCTGGCTTCCAATGCATCCAACATTTCTTCCTTGCTGTGAATGGTACCACCCTGAATGCTGTGATCGGTCAGTCCAGTACAGCTCCATCTAACTCGCAGAGCATGTAGGCTCCTCCCCAATTGTGAACCAACACAATATATGGTCCTATATATCGTGGTCACATTTTTCGATTGAGTGCTTTCTCAATCTGCGTATGCCAAACCAAGACTAGGTCTCCACACTTGAAATTGAAATCTTTGATCGCATTCTTGTGGACTCACTTGAATCGCCTCACTGCTTTTCTCCTGGCCTTGTAGACTGTGTTGTGGATCCTCATGACTTGTTCTCAGTGCTTTTGTAGTGCTTCTGCTCGACTCGTGATCAGGTCGGTCATTGTCACCATCCCGACTGGTGCTGGAATCATATATGTTGCCTCAACTATGTCCAGCAGTAAGACAGGATGAGTGCCCATGATGGTGAAGTAGGGTGAACAACCCATGCATCTTCTAACTGTGACTCTTTCTGACCAGAAAACTGAATGTGCGACTTGACTCCATTTGCACTCCTCTCTGTCAGCAGCCTTAAATAGACCTTGGCAAATGTCAAAATGTGGTCGCTCAACTATTCTGTTTGCACGTGAATTGTAGCCACTTATCTGGATGTGCTTGATGTGATATTTCTTCTCCAGATAGGCTGCTGCTTTTACGAATGGTGCGCCGTTGTCGGTTATGATTTTCAATAGTGCTTCCCAGTGACAGAGTATATCTTCAAAAATCCAATTACTGAGGGCCTTCACAGATTCTGCTCGCAGCATACAGAATTCAGGATAGTGGGTGAGCGAACACTGACCCTGCACGATGTACTTAAATCCATTTGAGGGCGGCATATGCATCGTGTCAATATATATCTTTGCAAATATTGGCGCTGGCATTGCAACCATCGGCGGTATGAGAATCTGGTGAATCTGTCACTTTTGACATACTACGCACGTCTTGATGAACCAAGCAATGTCAACCACGACATCAGGCCACCAAAATTGTTCACGAATCAATGACCAAGTCAGAACAATGCCTCGGTGTCCTAGCTTATCATGTGCTCCAGCGAGGACTCGTAGTCAGTTTTCTGATAGTATGACCAACTTGTGTGATCCTTGTCCATCCTTTCTCCAGAGATGTCTGTCTCGTTTGAAGAAGTGAAGTGCATACTTAAGCATCTGATCGTATTCTTTATCCAAGTAATTTTCTGGTCGCTGCAACGTTTTCAGCCAGTCAGTGATTAACGCGATGAGATGGTCATTCCATCTGGCATGTGCAGATCATGGAACGTCCTTGTAGCTGACTGACTTCAGGTCCTGAGTATCTTGCACAGTTTCTGATTCATCATTACTTTGAGTCAGCAGCACAAAAACTGATTGCATGGCTAGCTCCTCCCCCATTCTGAAAAATCGACCGTTCTCAGTTGACTCAGTCAGTGTGATAATCTGTCTGGGCCATGCATAACTCCTGGTATGTGGACTAGTCAGAAATGATACATGAGGATGGTGATGACCCAACAGTTGATGCTTACACTTAGAGCGATGTCTGGGTTCTGCAATATGCCCTTGATGTACTTGGCATCCACTTTGACTATCAGGTTATGAATGCTGATCAAATAGACCTTGAGTGCTCGCAAGGCATGATATAGGCCGTAGAGCTCGAGCTTTGGTTGTGAAAACCTCTTTTCGTGATCGTTGAGTGTGATAGACCTGAAATGACTGAAAAACTGCTTTTTCGATCTGTCAGTTGCACCTTGGCACAACTGAAATCCAACTGTGATCGGAGAAGTGTCCACTGAAAGGATAACTGGTGCTGACAAGTTGTAATTGATCATTCACAAAGCTGGTGACTCCAATAATGCCTGCTTTAGGTCTTTCATTGCTTTGAGCTGTGCCTCGCCGAATTTAAACAGAACTCCTTTTTGAGTGAGCTGCACAAGTGAGTGCGCTCGCTTTGTGAAGTCTTTAATGAAGATCCTTGTGACTCCGATTGTGCCTAAAAATGCTCGAACTTCCGATAAGTCCTTGCATGGGCCCCAATTTCTGACTGTCCAGACTCGAGATTCATCTGGCAACTGTGCAATCAGGGTGCACCTGTGTCTGACTATTGTGATCTCTTCCATGCAAAGCATCAACTTCATTCCTGAGAAGGTACCTCCAGCATACTCCATTCACTGCACAATGTGATTGAGATTTTGGAAATGTTCCCAAATGAATCATCAGATACCATCGTTGCCTGTGATCGTCTCGAAGCTATCATCTGATTTGAGATATGTAGCTAGTCACTGGACCTTTAACTGGGACATTGTCGACATATGGCACCATAAATGCAGGAATTTCTGATTGCAAATGTATGTGACGTCATTGTGAAAGATCGGCACTGAGTTGGTCAACCCCACCGGAAGGGTGACGAGTTGCAAAGCTCAAAATGGCATCTGGAACGTGGTAAGGTCATGCGATGTCTCTGCTATGAGTCTCTCATTGTATCCAACATATAGATCGAGCATGGCTCCACAGGCACGACTGCTGAACTGCTCCACTAGGTGCTCCGGAGTCGGCATAACTCCCGTGTGCTGAATCGTAACTGCATTCAACAGTTCAAGACTGTGCATGAGTCATAGAGACTTTCTGTCCTTCTTTATGATGCAGAACCATTGCGATCAGTATGATGAGTTTGAAGGCTTGTAAACTCTGGCATCCAACTTCTTCTTGATAATCACACAGACTTCCTTGTAAATGCCTGGTGGAAACGAAATGTTCTGCTGAACCCATGGCTGATGTGAAATGACTGAGAAATCTATCAGTGGGAAGTATTCCGATTTGAACCATCCTTGCTCAGAATCACTCTAAGTGAAAGCTTGCTTATGCAAAAACATGAATGCGTGCATAAGGGCTCGCTCTTCTGGTGTCACAGATTTTCGCCACAAAGTCCGCACGTGACTTTTCTCACACCACAGATCACGTGCTTCACCAATATCTCACGCCACTCAGCCACAGACGCGACGCGTAGAGATCAGGTGATA